CCCCCCAAGTAGTCCCAGCTGGCCTCAACAGGCCCCCCAAGAAGCCCAGAGTCTCGACATCTCAACCCTGGGGCGCGGAGACCGCCCCAGACTGCTCGGGGAGCCTGTTGAGGCCAGCCAGGACTACCTGAAGGCGGTGTTTGTGCGCAGCCCGAAGCCTGACCAACCACGACGCGGCAGCAAACCACGATGACGCAGCTGCCCCCCCCAAAAAAAAAGCCCAGGGTGTCGACTCTGATCCGCAGTTTCTGGGTGCTACGTGCCGATGGCGCTGCTCCCCAGACCTCTCCCAGGGTGCGTTCTGACCAGAACTTCGAAGCAAATCCAGCCGTGGCGACTGGGGCCTCAAAGGAACCCCAAAAAGGCGAACACGAAGCAAGGATAGCGGCATCGGCACCTTTTCCTCCTTCGAGCCACGACGCAGCAGCTCACCCCCCCAAAGGCCAGGAGTCGCCAAGGGCGACGTGAGCTTGATCGACGGGCCCCGCCCGCCGCCCGCCGCCAGCTCGATGAGGCCCGTGGCCTCCGGCGCGCGGCGTCGGGCCCCCGCGGCGCACCCTCGTCGGCGCCGTCGTCCTCGCGGTCCCCGCAGCCCGCTCCCGCGGCGCCTCGCCCTGCAGCAGAGCAAGAAACTCACTGCGGCGTCCTCGTGTCGTGACGACCCTGGCGTAGGCTTCTGACACCGCGTGGATTGTTCACCCTAGAAGGATCGGCGGCTTCTCGTTCGCCAGATCGTTCCACGTCGACCGATTCCTGGGGAACTGCCGGCGTTCAACCTTGAACGCCCACGGCGGGGTCGCCGCAGAGTCAACACGACGCGAACCTACTGTGGCAAAACACAGGCTTTCGAAGGACAGCACAAATTTCTTAGATTGGCCAGGGGCGGCGCCAGAGGCGCCGCCAGGGGGATCCAGCACAGATTCGATAAAGATGCGCAAACTTTGATGTGTGTGTGCATATGTATATATATATACATATATATATATATATAGAGAGAGAGAGACACACCTATATATATATATATATATATATATATATATATATATATTATCGGAGGTTGGGGGGTGAGATCGAAGTGGAACGGAGAGCCCCCCGACCGGGAAATCGATTTCGGTTTCGTGTTCGTGCGTGCCGTGCGTGCGGGCGAGGCGAAGCTGCGTGGGCGGGCGAGAGGAAAGTCTCCTGTGGCTGAGGCGCGGCCGGACCAAATGATTCTCCACCGGGCGGCCGGTGGCGCGCGGTGTCCCGCCGGTGTCCCGGTGGTGTCCTCTGTGGCTGAGGCGCGGCCGCACCAAATGATTCTCCACCGGGGCGCGGGGCCGCGCGGTGTCCCGCCGGTGTCCCGGTGGTGTCCCGTCGGTGTCCCGATGATGATGTTGATGATGATTACGGTGACGATGATGATGACGATGATGATGATGATGGTGATGATGGTGATGATGGTGATGATGTTGATGATGGTGATGATGATGATGATGATGATGATGATGTTGGTGTTGATGATGACGACGTCGATTGTGAGATCGATTGTGATCGGAGGTTGGGGGGTGAGATCGAAGTGGAACGGAGAGCCCCCCTACCGGGAAATCGATTTCGGTTTCGTGTTTGTGCGTGCCGTGCGTGCGGGCGAGGCCCCGTGCACCCACCAGTACAGGCTAGGCTTTGCCAGCCGCTCTCTCCGAGCGCGCCCCGTTCCTTCGGGCGGCCGCGCGGGCTCGCCGCCGCGGCTGGAAGCGAATCGAAAAACTGGGGCGTCTGGGCCCGTGGAGTTCGGCCGTCTGCATAAAAAGGGATACGCCGACAGGACGCCGGCGCGGGCCCCTGGGAGGGGTTCCGGTTCCGTTTTGAGGTTAGCGCCGAGGTTCGGTCGAGGTTTCCTGGCCCTCGGAGGCCCTGCTCGCCGCCGCGGCTGGAAGCGAATCGAAAAACTGGTGCGTCTCGGCCCCTGGAGTTGGGCCGTCGACATAAAAAGGGATACGCCGACAGGATGCCGGCGCGGGCCCCTGAGTCGTCGTTCGCCGTCGCTGTTGGAGTCGGCGTCGGTGCGCCCCTGCAGGTTCCCTTGGGAACTCCTGAATCGTTCCCGGGGCCATGTTGAATCACCATTCCGCGCTGCATGCTGTGCCGGCGTTGACGCCGTCAGACCGCATCCCATCACGGTTCTGTGTTCGGAGAGTTCCCGCGGACCTTTGGCCGGTCCCGCGGCCATGGCCGCCGCCGCCCGCATGCTCACACATGCGCTGCCTATGTCCCAGGGCCAGGCTTTGCCAGCCCCAGGGACAGAGGCACCCTACGCGGGCTCGCGCAGACTCGCGCAACGATACGAGTACAAGGGCACTTCCTTTTCGGGCATGGTGGAACTCCATCCTCAGCGCCTGCTGACTCGGGAGGAGTTCAAGACGAACTTGCTGGCAGCACCAGGCGTGCTGAAGGTCTCTGTGCTTCCAAAGATGTTTGTGGCCACTCGGCGTTTGGGTTGGCCATTTGGGATTTCGGGTGTCTTCGGGGGCCTCCTTGGGGGGAGCCATATTGAGCCACCTCCGGCTATCTTGAACCATAGTGGAGGCCATAAGGGGTTCCCCGGGGATGCTTACGAGGGTGACCCTCAGGTCGTGGACAAGAGCTCCAAGACCTTGCAGGGCATAGGAGGCGACCACGTCTTCGAGCAGAACCTGGAAGTCCACCTGCACCGCGAGCCCCATGTAGCTCTGGAGTTCGAGATCACGCGGAACAACCACATGAAGCACATGGAGGGGCGCCCTTACACTGAGACAGCGATGTTCAAGGACCCCCCGCAAACGGCATCACGCGGCGGTGTGGCGCGTGCTCTTGCACGCCGTCAAGGGCCGGGAGCTCCTTCCACAGCATGCCCGCGACAACTGCAAGAGCTGCCTGACGAGACACGGCACCTGGGAAGACGACGTGCTCCCAGAGGGCCTGGAGGGGATCCCGCTTGAGCCAGGCTTTGCCAGTCCTGCGGGGTCCCCCAGCTCTCCGACGCAGGCGCCGGGCCTTCCAACAGCGCCAGGCCTTGCCGGCTCTCCGACGCAGGCACCGAGTCGCAAGCCAACGTTCCCGTATCCTTTCCAGAACGCTCCCGCGATGCCCGGGGGCCAGGCGACCGCCACTGCGGCGCGGGTGGAACCCTGCCCCACCGAGTCGGCCACAATGAGTCAGGGTGGCCGCGGGGTCCCGCTTGAGCCAGGCTTTGCCAGTTCTGCGGGGGTGGAAGCTTCAATAAATCAGGGCGGCGCGACCGGGCCTCCTGCCAAGAAGAGTAAAGCGGCGCCCGGGGGCGCCGCGATCGCCCCTGCGGCGCAGGTGAGCGGAGGGGCGCGCCAGGCCTCCTGCCCGGAGGGCCTCAACTACTGCGAGGCTGGGGTCACGGAGCTGAGAGCGTTCGAGCGGGACGGGAACATTGCATCGTTGGTCAAGGCCCAGGACCTTCTGCTCAAGGGGATCGAGCGCATCTCGGACGTCTTGCCTGAGGGGCGCGATTTGGACGGCACCGAGTACGAGACGCTAGGTGCGGAGTTCAATCGCTTCGCGGAGATCGCGGAGGATGCGCGCGTGCGCATGCGGACCGAATTGGAGGCGGCAAGGAGGCCAGCGGGCGGGGAGCAAGCGGCGGCAGGCGAAGCCCAGGGGTCGGGGCCAGGCTTTGCCAGCCCGGCGACCCAGGGGCAGAAGAACCAGGACACGGCGGATGCGGAGAAGACGCCGCCAGGGTTCGACCCCGAAGCCGATTGGACAGAGGACACGGCGGACGTGCACCAGTTCGACATCACGGCTGACCTGCGCGAGGAGCTGGCCGAGAAGCCCGATGGGGGCCCGGCCGCCGCCCGTGAGTCCAGGGAGGTCCGCGCTGCACTCGGCGCCGAAGTTCTTCCCATCCCGGATGTTTTGAAGCTTGCGCAGGGCCAGCCGATGGACAGCAACGCCGCCCTGGACGATGTTCGTGCTATGAAGAGTCGCGGTGTGGAGCACGTGCGGCACCGAGTCATCGATGAGCCCAGCGATCCCGAGGTGCAGGACAACATCGACAGGATGCGCCGCGAAGCCTGGGAAAAGCACGAGGAGCGTCGGAGGACATGCGCCCGTGGCCTGGACACGCGGGACATGTTCTTGGGCCGCGAACTGGTGTACGTCAAGCTGGTCAGTGCCGGCGCGGTGCCCATGACTCCGAACGAGTTTTTGAATGCGGCGTCTAAGAGGTCCCTCTGCGTCGAGGATTTGTCGCGGCCACCTCCAAACACGCAGGCACGGGAGGGCCGCTTGCGCATGCTCGCGCTGCGGGAGCATTACCAGACGTTGTTCAAGGAGCTCCCGCATAAGGCAGCGCAGAAGTTTTCGCCGAACCAGCTGGGGGACGACGACGGACCATCGAAAGCGCTGGTGGGCTTGGTCAATCACCACTCTGGCGAGGTGGTGGAGCTGGACGGGTGCAGAACGCAGTGGTGCCTTCGCAAGGTCGCACCAGGCAGTGCCAGTGCCGCGCAATTCGAGAATCCACAATTCTGGCGCGTGCAAGGCGGTTACACCGTGGGACGACGCCCGGAGGGGCGGCGCGAGCACGGCCGGCGCGGGTCCGAGCTCTTCGCCAAAGCCGTCGACGCACAGGCCCAGCGCGAAGCCGCCGCCGTGAACGAGGGCGAAGACATCAACCCACAGGTCTACATGCCCGCCTGGGCCCGCCAGTGGAGCAGGGCATGCGCCCCGTGCGAGGCGGTCGAGACGCGCGAGTGGTGTCGGCAGAGCCCCGTCACGACGCTGGGGCAGCTCTTCTGGGACTTGGGCCGGACGCACACGGCCAAGGCCATCTACGCCTTCTACAGGACGCTCCGGCTGGTCGCGTTGAAGAGGGACAAGAACAGTTCCACCAAGGCGAGCAGCGCGCCAGGCTTTGCCAGCGCATCTCGGCCAGCCGGGTCGGCAGCTGCTTTCGGTTTCACAGGGTCCGACCTCCAGGCGCCCCGCATCCGCGCAGATTACTCGTACCCGGCGACCAACCGCGAGGTGCTCGTGGAGGACTACATAGAGGCGGTGGGCTTGTCCACAACGTACGTCAGCTCCATGACCAAGCAAGAGTTGCTGGACGAGGCTGCGAAGTGCGCGACGTTGGCGTTGCCTGGGGACATGCGCCCGCCGTGGCTGGATCACGCGTTCCCCCAGGCATTGCCAGGGGATGGCTTCTTGTCCGAGTTCACCAGACCGTCTTTCCTCTACTGGGGCGCCAGCTTCCTCGACATGCTTTTCGGCACCGCTCTGGGAAGCGATCTCAACGACCAAGCGGTCAGCGTCGACTACCAGCTGGCGGGTGCCATCGCGCGCCCCCTGTATAAGTGCGCGCAGATCGCCGACGCCAGCACCGGAGCAGCGCGCATGAACGTCGCGTCGATGTCAAAGCTTTTGCGGGACACCGCGGGTCGGGGCCACTACACGTGCAAGGAGTGCGCTGAGAGGAAACAGGGCGCCGATGACACGCCAGGCTTTCCCAGCGTTGCCCTTCGCGCCCTGCACTTGTACCCCGCGGTGTTCGGGCCGGATGGCGAGCCCACGCCGCTTCGCGCGATGACGCCCCATCGCGTGTTCGCGCACGCGCCTCCGGAGAAGCGGGGGCGGGGCGTCGAGCGAGTCCAGCGCCACGTGGTGACCCAGGCGAACCCCACGATATCCACGGCCACGCCGACATGGCACACTTACAACGCGGAGGAGAGCGAGGCCACTTGGATCGCATCCAGTGCGTTCAAGGCCACGCCGCCGAGCAAGACGTGAATGGAAGGGGGGCACTGGCTGCGCCAGGCTTTGCCAGTGCTTGCAGGCTCCTGCATCATGAAGGATATAGTTTCTGATTTCGCGTAGGCTGCGCCAGGCTTTGCCAGCGCTTGCCAGGCTGTGCGGAGGCTGCGCGTAAGCTTCGCCAGCGACCCCTGGAGTTGGTCTGTCTACATAAAAAGAAATACGCCGACAGGACGCCGGCGCGGAACGCTGGGAGGGGCGCCGGTCCCGTTTTGAGGTTGGCTCCGAGGTTCGGCAGAGGTTCCCTCGCCCTCGGAGGCCCTGCTCGCCGCCGCGGCTACAAGCGAATCGAGAAACTGGTGCGTCTGGGCCCCTGGAGTTGGGCCGTCTACACAAAAAGAGATACGCCGACAGGACGCCGGCGCGGGCCCCTGGGAGGGGTCCTGGTCCCGTTTTGAGATTGGCGCCGAGGTTCGGTCGAGGTTTCCTGGCCCTCGGAGGCCCTGCTCGCCGCCGCGGCTGGAAACGAATCGAAAAACTGGTGCGTCTGGGCCCCTGGAGTTGGGCCGTCTACACAAAAAGAGATACGCCGACAGGACGCCGGCGCGGGCCCCTGGGAAAGAAAAAAAAAAAAGAGGAAACAAAAGGGGTCCCGGTCCCGTTTTTGAGATTGGCTGCCGAGGTTAGGTCGGGTTTCCAGGCCCTCGGAAGGCCCTGCTCGCCAGCCGCGGCTGGAAAGCGAATCGAAGAACTGTGCGTCTGGGGCCCCTGGATTGGTCCGTCTACACTAAAATGGATCGCCGAACAGGACGGCCCGGGCGGCGTCGCTGTCGCAGCAGTTCTCATCAATTGCATTTGCACCATGTGCAACCCGACAAAGGGAGGGAGAGGAGCCTCAGCAGGCCTCCGAGAAAAAATCTCCACTGGCATCGTCAGGAGAACAATCACCACTGTTGCCGATTGCTCGGCCCCTCCACCCCCCCAACCTCCTTATCACCCGCAGGGTGGTCGTATAGGTATATATATATATATATATATATATATA